GGGGGGGGGGAGACGTGTGGGCAGAGCTGTCCCCTGTGGGGGATGCCACGGCCACCTTGCCCCATTCAGTAGTGCCCTGTCCCCCCAGCAGGGTGCGGTGTGAGCCACAAACTCCCACATTGGAGGAGGCAAGGAGGTGGAGAAGAACAGGAAAGAAAGAATGGAACCCTCTTTCCCGTCTGGTGAGGTCAGCCCCACAGGGGTGGGGAGGGAAATGGAAGCTTTGATCTGGGTCCGAAGGGATTGGCCTGGGACAGGAGGGAGAGGAGATTTCCCAGGAGTCAGTCTTAGGCCTGTGACCTTGAACACTTGGGTTGACTAGTCTGCAAGAGGAGGGTGGCTCCAGGACCACCAGGGCCCCCTCCCCCAACAGGAAGGGAGTCCCATTGGGGACGGTCCCCAAGGAGCAGGGTTAGCATCTGTGTTTGCAGCTCGGACAGCTAGGGCCTTGAGGCAGGGCTGGCCTGGGCCTTGAGAAGCATGAGGGTCAGTCCCATCCTGGGGCGCCCTGGGTGACCTTGGCTCGGTCCCCCCCCCCCCACCCCACACCTCAGGGTTCCTTCTTTCCAAATGTGGGTCATCCACATAAGCACTAATTTTGCACATCTAGGTAATGGGGGGGCATGGTGTGGGGGTCAGGGGACCTGGGGGGACAGGAAGGAGGCCCTCTACTGGCCCTTCTGGGGAAGAGCCAACCTCTGGGCCAAAAGACAACCTCAGGCCAGGCAGCCACCCCAGCAGGGGACTGCCTCCCCCATTTTGCTGCGGCTGGAAAGTGCACCATCTCATTGCCCTCCGACCCCCAGTCTCCAGACCACAGCTGCCACCCCCCTGGTGCCAGCACCCTCACTTTTGGGTCCCCAGGCCTCTGTGGCATGGGTCCCTGACTGTGGCTCACTGGTTCCCTAAGCAGGCCCTTATGGAGCACTCAGCCTCAGTGTGGCCCAGAGAGCCATGGGGTAGCCTTCCTCTGAGACAGTCTGGAGGGAAGGGCAAGTCAGTGACCGAACCCCCAGAGGACAGAGGGCAGAGGAGGGCAGTGACCTGCCGGGAAGTAGCGTCCTGCTCTGTGGAAGAAAAGGTGGGTCGGGGGGAAGACTCTACCCCCACCCTGGGACGCCCCCATCAGTCACCCACGACTCAGGTGCTGGTGTGTGGACAGCAGATGGGGCAGCGGTTTATGCTCTCTCTATGTGGGCTCTGGAGCCTCTGGCACAACGCTATGGGGCCATGGCGGCCCTGGCTCCTCTGCTGAGGCCCAAGTGTCACCAACAGACACCTAGTAACCCAGCCTGGGCAGAGGTGGGAAATTCACCACCAGCAGCACCAGCGTGCCCAGGGTGTAGATGGGGCAGCACAGAACACAGGGGCCAGAGCAAGCAGGAGGGCTGAGCCTGGGAGGCTCCTGGGTCCTCTGAGGAAGCAGCTCAGATATGGAAGGCTGGGCCTCGGGGGAAACAGAGCCAGAGTTCAGATATGGCTGAGTGGGGCCTTCTGAGGGGCCTTCCTCCATGGCCCGTTGGCCAGCCTACCTCAGATGGCAGGAAGGCTGGGCTCTGGACGGCAGGCCGAGGCATCAGTCTCCAGACCCTCTCTGTCTC